CCCTAACAGTGTGGTTTGTAAAGCACTGGGCCTCTAATTGAAAGGTCAGCAGCTCTAAGCCATCGCTGCTATGAGGGAGGAAGATGAGTAGTCTCCTCTCATAAAGACGCACAGCCTCAGAAACCAGCTGGAGGAGGACTATGAGTGCAACTCAACAGCTGTGGGGAGTATAAATGTTGGTTAAGTGAATAAACCAATTCTTAATAGAATCTTTAGTGCCCTATTTACATACTTAAATAAAGAAGAATTACAATGTTCCAGCATCTCTAAATTAAGTAAATTAAAATTACTATTTAGAGCATAGGGAGCACTGGTGGCCTAGTGGTGAGGAGCTGTGCTGAAATCCTAATGCATGCAGTTCCCATTCTCCAGCTGCTCTGCCAGAGAAGGACAGGCAATCTCTTCCCATGTGATTACCTGCTTCTGAAAACCTGCTGGGGGGTTAGCAATGGGTTGGTTCCGACTAGACAGTATTCAACAATAGAGAGTTAGAAACATTGATGAGACTGTAGATTACGTCTCAGGAGGGAAGCTGTATGTACTAAATGTAAAGTTTTAAAAACATAGTACCATTTCTTAGGCATTCTTTCAAAAACATTGTAATGAGTATCTCATCATATAAATAATATCAATAGTTGCCAAAAGTATTTGTAGCTTTGGTGATGTAGTACATAAGGTACTGGGCTGCTAACAAAAAGGTCTGCAGTTCAAATCCACCAATTGCTCCAAGGGAGAAAGAAGTGCAATCAAAGATTTACAGTCTTAGAAACCTGATGGAGGACCACTACAAATCAAAATTAATTCGACAACAGTGAGTTTGGTGTTGGTAATTAAAAATAAGAAGGTGGGTCTATATATGTTTATAACAAATCTATGAGTCAATTTGTGAAGTGATAATAACAAATCTATGAGTTAATTTGTGAAGTGATAAAATAATCAGAAGAAAGTGTATGATATGCTGACACCAAGGCTTCCCCCATCCCCTTTTTTCCAGTAAGTTTTTATTATTTGGTAAGTTCAATTGAAGATTCTGTGGAGAGATGAAGTTCAGGTCTTCCCAGGGAATGTGCCTGTGCCCTGAGGTTGTCCCAGGCTAATACCCAGGGCATGGGCAGCATGAATTGTACATGCTGATACATTCACACACAGAGACATAGCTGCCTTTGGCAGTCACTGCTGTCTCACAGCGCTGGAAATCCAAGTAGTTCTGCCAGCAGTTTCTATGGTTCTGGTTGGGGAAGCAGCTACAAAAGGGCCAGTTCGGTAGTTCTTAATTTTGGTGGTTGGTCTTGATGTCTTCTGCCACGGTAGTGACCTCTAAAGTCTCCCCTGATATCAGCAGCAGCTCAATGTGATCCTCGGAAGAAAAGTCTGTTACTACAGCTTTTCAAAAATGGGTGATAGCCAAATATATTTTGTATATGTACTACAATGCCTTGGAAAGAATGCACAGAAAACTGGAGTGATTAACTCTGGAGAAAACCAGTGGTTGGGGTCAGTACTGAGACTTACTTTTTGTTGACTAACTTGTCTTAGTTATCTAATACTGCTATAATGGGAATATCAGAAGTGTGGTTTTAGCAAACAAAAATTTATTTTCTCATAGTTTAGAAGGCTACCATTTGGATTCAGAGCACTGGCTTTAGGGGAAAGTTATCTCTCTTTTCTTGTGCTGAAGGAATGTCCTTTTACTTCCTTGTTTCTTAGAGATCTTGGCTTCTAGCTTACCCCAACTCTGCTAGTTAGCTTGTTTGTTTAATATTTTCTATATCTCAAAAAGGGACTGACTCAAAACATAATTTACACATTTTTCCTTATTAACATGTAACAAAGATAATCCATTCCCAAATGGGATTAAAAAAAGAGACGTTAAAATAACTAAAACTCCCTGCCTTTGAGTTGCTTCTGACCCATAGTAACCCTGCATTGGGCTTCTTAGGCTAGCAATATTAAGGAGAGGAGAGTGCTCAACTTTCTCCCAGAGGAGCAGCTGGTAGATCCAAAGGTAACTCGAAGTGACCTTTGAACTAGCAGCCCAAATCAGACTCTTCCTTCAGAGGAATTATAACACATATTTCAGAGGAAAAAAAATTCAACACATTAGAATCGTATTAATATTTTTTAAATTTTAATAACAGCTAGATGAGCATATGTAAGGCTCATACGTAATGAACTGCACTGCCAATGCAAAGGTACATGGTTTGAATCCATCAACCACTCCTTGAGAAAAAGATGGGCAATTAACTGCCTCTGAAAATCTGCTACAGAGTCAGCTACAAGTCAATTCCAACTTGATGTTACACAGCAGCAACAACAATAAATGTAACAGCTAGTTAAAGAAACAGATGAATGTAAAGAAGTTATATCAATAAAATGCTAATCAATTTATAACACTTTGTAATTAAACACGGATACTTTTAACAATTTTCAATTGTTTACCATTTTTTTTCTGCAGGGGAAAAAACCATCTGTAGATCAACTGTCAAACCATTAAAAAAAAAGATAATCAACAAGTGGCTAAGGATGTGAACATATAGAAGGCATGGGAGACTCAAAGAATTCACAATCTTGTAGGGAGGAACAAAATATATTTAAATAATTTCAATTCAAATCTGTAGCATGTGAATATAAGTTGCAGAGGTAAGAATGACATCCAAAAAAAAAGGAAAAGGTAGTGAGATATAACTATAACTTATAAAGTCTTAGGTAAAAGCCAGACCATAAAAGAGTGAGCAGAACAAGCTTTGGTTAAGTAGTGATAAAAACTGTAGCTTAATGATTAATGGTACGAGAACACTCCAATACCATTTGAATAACCAACAGTATTATATTATAAAGCAGGAGAAAGGAGTAGAAATAAGTGATTAAGGGAATATTTCATAAAGAAATAAGTGATAAAACAAAAACATTCCATGCTCCTCCTCCTCTTTTGTAAAAATACGCTCTTATTTTTAGCAGTTAAGTATCTATGGTATTTATGACAGCTTAAGATGAGTAGCAATCAGTGGCTTTTGCAATTATGTTGAAAGTTGAAATGATAAAGTATTTAATATATATGCTATTAATTGTATTCTTTAAAGTAAGGTATAAGACAACATTTGTCACACTGATACATCTGTAAATCTCAAAACATTTTTTTCAAAACATTTTTAAATACTCATTAATTTCCAATGCCTTGATAAAATACACTAGAAAAGTAAATGAACACAGAGAAGATGAATATCTACAAAACAAAAAGAAGGAAAACCTAAATTTATGGCTACTGAGTTCATTCCAACTCATATCAACCCTCTGAGAGCAAATCTGCCAGTCAGGATTTCAAAGGTTGTAATTTTATTATTATTATTATTATTATTATTATTATTATTATTATTATTAATTTGGGGGGGTACCATTAAATCGGATCTGACTGGTACAGAAAGAGATTGCCCCTTCTTCTCCAACAGAGCATCTGGTGGATTTGAAGCGTGAACCTCTGGGATTGCAGGGCAGCTTCTTGCCACTAGGCCACCAGAAGGTTGTAATTTTTAGGGAAGGCAGTTCTGGTGGCTTAGTGGTAAGGAGGTGCACTGCAAACCCCAAGGCACACAGCTCAAATCCACCAGTTTTGCAGAAGAAAGATGGGCAATCTCCCATGTGAGTTATTGCCTCTGAAAATTCACTGGAGGGTCAGCTCTGAGTCGGTTCTGACTCCACGGTAAACAACAACAATCTTTAGGGAAGCAGGTTGTCACATTGTCCTCTTGTGAAGTGGTGAGTTTGAACCCCCAGCTTTTCAGTCAGCACACAAGTGCTTAACTACTGTGGCACTAGAACTCCTTAAACAATTAAAAGTCAATCAACAAATCAATAATGGGTCTGGAAAATAAAAAGATACATATTTTTGATCTTACTCCTGGTTATAAAGTACAAGTCAAACTCCCAAGATGAAATGTTTCTCCTCTTAAAAATGACACTCCTAGAAAAAGAACAAGAAAGAAAAATGACACCCAGAGGTGTAGGGAGTCCATAGGTGATGTTAAATACCAAATAACTAAATACAGTTCAATACATGAAAAAGGTGGGAGCTCTGGTAACTAAATGGGAAGAAGCTGTGTTGACAACCCAAAGGCATCCAGTGCGAATCCACCAGCTGCTTAGTGGCAAATGGGAAATTTCATTATTTCACCCATGTGATTTACTGCCTCTGAAAACACATGTAACAACACTGTCCATAACATATAAAAGGAACTTATAAAATGAAGCCTCGCTTTAAGATGGTAGGATTTATAAAGAAAAACAAACTGATTTCATTTCACTAAGTATGCCAGTCTCACATTGTAGAATAGAAAAAAGCATTACTGAATTCTCACATATTGTTCTAATTTTCTGTGAACTTAGCTATCATGTGCAATATAATTTTAAATTCTTGAACAATGTGTCCTGCGTTGCACGTATTTTTATTAGAAGGAAAAAATGTATTACTTAACATCAGTGAAATGGCTTAAGTCATAATCATATATGCAAAACAGTGTATTAGAAAGAATTATTATTTTTAATAGGTTCCTTATATTTTTTTATTTACTAAGGGATTTAAGGAGATATAATAAATATGAGTTGTGAAAGACTTTATACACTCAATTGAAAATATAATGAAAAAACTTAAAAAGAATTATTTTTCTTAAATGTCTACAGAACCTTTTAAATTATATACAAAATTAAAGACTATTAAACATAATATTATAAATATTATACAAGAAAACAATAGGCAAAAAGGAAGATTTAAGTGTTTGAAAACTATAAAATTCACAGCACTTTTCAGAAACTTCCATATTTTACTCTATTAAGAAGCTATTAATTATCAACATTCAGTAATTATTTTATAACAAGAATTATTAGTTTCAAGCAAAATTTAATAAATTAACACTCCTACCGCATTCTTGCTTTTTCAATGAGGCACCAAATTATTAAGTGCTGAATTTTGGCCAATGAAACTGAACTTTTTGTTCCTAAATGCCTACCTGCGCATTGGCTTTCCTTCCATGCACCATGAACCGTATCCTTCACCACACTCTAAAGCCGAACCTGAGACAACAGAAAAGCAGTAACTTAAAAACTATTCTTCATCTTTCCAGTACAACCATTATGTAATCATTTTACTAAAAAGGTAAAGAACCTTATCTCACATTATTTCATAAGGTTTTCACAAATGCTAATTTATAACTGAATCAAGTACCTTTAGGATGATTCTCTAGTTTTACTGACTATTAAATATTTATAATGTGAAGATGAAGGAAAGTATGCTAAATAGGCACGAATGCCTAGGGTGGCCTTGCCTCTTAAAAGTATTTGGAGACATTTAACTTGGCATCTCCATCAAGTCTTTTTACAAGAGCACTCATCATATATTCACAACAGTAGCTAGATTGGATAAGGGAACATGTTAGTTTCACTGGAAGGCTGTTAACTTGTCCAGAAGTGACAGGAGCAAGTATTTGTCGTTAAAAAAACAACTCTACACCCAATAGCCTAAGGAGCCCGAACAAGGCAGGGAAAGTATGGTTTCAGTCTGTTTCTCCTTATAAGCCCTTTCTACAGTTTCCAAAACAATGTACACCGCCCACTTGACAGGATCTCGCCTGGTCCCCAGGGTTAAATGGGAGACACCGTACTCATCTTTCCCCGATTCCAACCACCGCTTGGAGAAGCTGTCCAGGGCATAGAACCCAAGCGCCTTCCTAGGCTCTGGAGCAGAGCAGTTACTAACGAGATCTCAGTCTGGAGCCTCTTAAGGCCGGGCCTCAGCGATCCAACAGCAGAGCCCTTCTTGCACTGACTTATGAGCAATGCGCAAAGCACGGTCTTCTATCCACTTGGGTCATGGGGAAGTTGGGAGTTCAGACTTGCAAAGCAACGCGATGTGCACTCACTACTTGCTGCTCAAGGCGGTTCACTTACCGGCTCCGACACTTTCTTCTATGCCCGCAGCCTTGCCTGCCACCCACTCCTCCCGCCGCTTCCCCCGCCTCCTCCTTAAACTGCGCTGGCGCAGGCCAGACGCATCTGTTGGCAGCTATTTCCTCTCCCCAGTCCCAGCCAGTAGCAGGAAGTAGTTCCATACCTAAATCGCTCCCCACTGCCACTCATAAATCCCGCCAAAGGTTCCGGTGTCATACAGGAAGTAGTCACGCCCTTCGTCTGGGATTAGTGTAATATTTGAGGCGTTAATTTACCTTGTTTAACTGTCTCTAGGGAATGGTTTCTGGACATTGGTTTCTCGCGTCTTGATGAGGGTCACGTAAGGAACGTTTTGGTTTGTGTTATTGGGGTTTTTCCCCCCTTCACAAGCCGTTGTCAGCTGATTGGACTTATGCCGGGTTTAGCCAGCAAAGATCCAAGGGCGGGGGGGGTCTACTCGGCTCTCGGGCCAAATTAATTAATTTTGGGATGAACATTCTTTAAGTGGTACAGCTGTAATCTGTATATTTGCTGTACTGAAATTAGGTTGGAGTTGCTGTAATGCTGAACACTGTGTCATAGGTGTGTCAGATACCGTAATGGTTAACCCATCGTGAACAGTGTTTGTGTGTACCGTCAAATCAGATCTGACTGCTACAGGAGGAGTTTGCCTCTCCTTTTCCCGCGGAACATCTGGTGGATTCGAACTGCAAACCTTTGGGATTGCAGTGCAGCTTCTTGCCACTAGGCTACCATCGCTCCCTCGTTGGACAGTGTTTGGAGGAGCTTCCAGATTGATTCTGGTTTGGAAGCAGGGGTGGAATCCTCTTCCTAAACCACATGCCTCTGGAAACTCTTATGAGCATAGAGTTAGTTAAAGAACAGGGTTCAGGTCTTTTGTTCATAGGGTCGCTATGAGTTGTATTTAACTTGACAGCACTTAACCACTGCTAAGTGAGACCGATGTTACATTTTGGAGAAACATTCTAAATTGTACAGCACATTTCTGTCAATTTGCTGTACTGACATAATCTGGGTTTGCTGTAATGCTGAACTTTGTGCCGTTGAGGTGTCAAATGCCCTACCAGTTTCCCAAGGTGGAGTGTTTGGTGGAGCTCCCAGTTTAATACCAGTTTGGAAGCAAGAGTGGCATCCATTTCCTAAACCACATGCCTCTGGAAAATCTATGAATTTGTAGAAACGACGATAGGTATAGAAGGTCATCAGGTCTTTTGTTCTTAGAGTTGCTGTGAGTCGTGCTGGACTCCACGGCAAATCAACAACATCTGTCTTTAAAGAGTGATCATGTTACGATTTTGTCTCTAAACTGACAGTGTTCAGAAACTTATACCTCCTTAAGTCTTACTTGTTTTCCCTATCAGAAAGCAAAGATGACAAAATATTAGAAGCTCGGTATTTTTATTTATTTGTAGCTAGTGGTTTTGCTGTTGTTATAATATTAAATGATTGTCACATGCCTTGTGTATGTAATACATACCAGCTACCAAAAATATGTAGATTAATCAGAGACTGCCTGATCTTCTCCATTTTCCAGATACAATTATTTTTATCTAAGATGTCAAGGATATGTCAAGTTTGCTCTTTCGCTCTGCTGTTGTGTACTATCGAGTCAGAACTAAGCCATAGATGCCTAGCCAGCGGGTTTTCAGAGGCAGATGAGCTCCTGGCAAAAGACTGCTCATCTTCCTCCCACGGAGCAGCTTGTGGATTTGAACCAGTTGCCTCTGTAATTGCAGCGCACCGTCTTACCACCAGGCCACCTTCATCAAACACTTATATATAAAATTAAAACAGGACAAAACCCACCCCTTTTCAGCATGTCCAGTGTCCTAGATTTTTTGCGTGGTGTATTTCCACAGTAAGTATGGGAGAATAGAGTTTCAAACATATTAGTTAAAGGTGTTCTGATTTCCTGACAACTAAGGTAGCACTGACTTAATGACATATTCTTCAGCTGTTCACCACATGGTATTTACACAAGCTTGTTCAGTTTTTTGGTGAAAGGGAAAGACTACCTCGTTATATCAGCTGTTGTTCTTGTTATGTGCCATCGAGTTGCTTACAACCCATAGTGATCATAGTACAGCAGTTCTGAGCTCTGGCCCTGTCCTGAGCCAGTCTCACTAATTCCAACATACCAACCACCATTGACCCAGTTACTATATCACTCTATCTCATTTGGGTTCTTCCTCTCCTGTGATGTCCCTCCACCCTTCCAAGCATGATGTCCTTCTCCAACAACCGGTCAGTCCCTCCTTGCCACATGCCCAAAGTATGTGGGACTGAGCTTCAAAATCCTAGCCTCGAAGGAGAAACTAGGTTTCACCCTCTTCAAGACAGACCTATTTGTTTCTTGGCAGTCCATGGTGTGTTCAGGACTCTTCTCCAGCACCACAGTTTGAAGACACATATTTGAAGGTTACATAGTCTGCAGTGGGTTCAAATTTTAGTTGAGGCTTTCATTTTTGTCAAATTTCTCAAATCACTTTTAACATTACTTTTATGTAAATAGAAATGTTTTCTTGATACAACTATGAGAGGCAAATAATAGTTAAAATTATGTATTGTGTCTGGCACTTAGTAGTGACTCAACTATTGTTAAATTTCCTCTGCTTCCACTCATATAAATGGATGCAATCATTATTTGAGGAATAAGACAAAGTCCTGCTCTTGTGAAGTTTATATTCTAGTGAGAATTTACATGATCAGGGTGGTTGAATTTATAATATCCTTTCCTCTGTAAATTCATTATGATTATTTCAAAATCTTGTTAATCTCAACTCAAGTAATAGTGACTAATGAGAAATAAAGGGAAGTCTTTCCCAGCTACTAAGTGTTCATCAGTTTATGCCAAAAAATGTGGAAGACAGCTGTCTTGCCAACTGATTGGAAAAGATCCATAGGGTGATCCAACAGAATGTGGAAATTGCTAAACAATACTAATATCACATGCAGGAAAAGTATTGCTGGAGTGGCATCCACTCCCTAAACAAAATTCTTCTGGAAATTCTATGAGCTTTGATAAATGACGGTAGTTATAGGAAGGCTTCAGGCCTTTTGTTCATAGGATCACTATGAGTCATGCCTGACTCAACAGCAATCAACAACAACATAATTAAAAACCGGTTAGAACAGTACATGGACAGGGAACTGCCAGAAGTTCATACTTCGTTTAGAAGTAGTCGTGGCTCCAGAGATATCATTGCTGATGTCAGATGAATCTTAGCTGAAAGCAGAGAATACCAAAATAATGTATATTTTTGTTTTATTGACTATACAAAAGTATTTGACTATGTAGTCTCAAAGCTATGGCTAACATTGGGAAGAATGGAAATCCCAGAACACTTAATTATTTTCATGAGAAATCTATACCTAGATCAGCTGCTGTAAGAATCGAGCAAGGAGTGCTGCATGGTTTAAAATCAGGAAGGATGTGCATGAGGGCTGTGTAATTTTTCCATACCTATCCAGTCTGTATGTTGGGCAAATAATGCATGAAACTGGACTCTACAAAGAGGAAAGGGGCATATGGATCGGATGACTCATCAGCAACTTGCATTATGCAGGGGACACAACCTTGCTTGCTGGAAGTGAAGAAGATATGAAATGCTTGCCGTTGAAGATCAAGGATTATAACCTTCAATATGGATTACATCTCAATATCAAGAAAACAAAGGTCTTCACCAAAGAACCAACAGCCACCATTGTGATAGATGGAGAAAGAATTGAAATTGTTAGGGATTACCTCTTGCTTGGATCATCAATCAGCCACCTTTGGTACCAGCAGTCAGGAAGTCAGGAAACATTGCATTGTCAGGTCTGCTTTCAGGGGCCTTCCCAAAATGCTTATGAACAATGATGTCAGTTTGAAGACTGGATGAAGCTCTGGATGCAGGCCATGGTCTTCTCAATTACCTGCTTTGCTTCTGAGAGCTGGACAATGAATAAAGATGTTGTTGTTGTTGCGTGCCATCAAGTCACCTGCAACTCATAGCGACCCTATGTACAACAGCTCTGAAGCCTGCCCTGTCCTGAGCCAGTCTCACTGACTCTGACACACCTACCCTCATTGCCCCAGTTACTCTACCAATCCATCTGATCTGGGGTCTTCCTCTCCTGTGCTGTCCCTCCACCCTCCCAAGCATAATGTCCTTCTCCTGACCACATGCCCAAAGTAGGTGAGAAGAGCTTCACAGTCCTTGCCTCCCAGCAGAAACTTGGTTTCATCATCTCCAAGACAGACTTACTTGTTTTCTTGGTGGTCCATGGTATGTTCAAGACTCTTCTCCAGCACCACAACTTGATTCTTCTTCTGTCATCCTTAGTCATTGTCCAGCTCTCTGATGCATAGCAAGTAATTGTGAAGACCAGTGCCTGGATCAAGTACACCTTAGTCTCTAGACTGTCATAGTTGCTTCTCAGTACTCTGGAGAGATCCCTGATAGCAGATCTTCCCAGTACAATTAATATTTTTATTTCCTGACTGCTGGTGCCAAGAGTGTTGATTGTGGAATCAAGCAAGCTGTAATTGTTAACCTCAATTCTCTATCATGGTGCTGTCATTTGGCCCAGTGGTGAGAATCTTTGTCTTCTTTTTTCCCGTTCCCCCCCCCCATTAAGTTGTACAACTCCATGATTCATTTGCCCCTCCCCTGAGCTTCAGTCCTTTTTAAGCAACACTTTAGGAATCCTCAGTTTCAGCAAGCAAAGTTGTGTCATCTGCTTAATATGGGCTGTTGATGAGTCTTCCTCCAATCTTGATGCCACATTCCTTCTCATAAAGCCAAGCCTCCTGAATGATCTGTTTTGCATATAAGACTGAAAAAGTAAAGAGACAGGATGACACCCTGACACACTTCTTTCCTGATTTTGATCCATGCAGTGTTTCCTTGCTCTGTTCTGAGAACTGCTTCTTGATCCGAGTATAGGTTGGCAAAAGAATTGTGATGCTGGGGAAGAGTACTGAATATCCCATGAACTACCAAAAGAAGAAACAGATATGTGTGGGGAAAGTGCAGCCAGCATTCTCGTTGGAGACAAAGATTGTGAAGCTTCACCTTTCATACTTT